TGAAAGGCGAGTGACCCTGACCTGGGCTCTAACCCGATCTGAAGAGTAACCCTGATAGAGTCTGATGCTCTATCTGCTGAGCAACCCCGTTCTGAAGCAACGTATATTAAGTTCCTTGCTCAGGGGAATTCGAGGTTACGACAAAGTTTTTCATCCTTTTGAATCGAACCGGCACTTCCGGAGTTCGAGCCCGACCTCTTAGGTACTGTGCCACCATGTCACTGACGACAGTGGACCATAACCAATCGTAGTTGTAAATATGTGAGGGAAGATATCCATTTCTTAAATATAAAACAAAGGCTTCTTCAGCTAGCGAGCCTGGCAAAAAATAGTCAACAGAGCCCATTAAAGCATGTGTGGTTAACTGCCGCGGTGGCGGAACAGATCTTGTACACATGGGACAACATTGCAATTGAAACGGCAAATGAAATTTACGAACTTTTAACCTTCTAAGCCATTTGGAAGAAAAAATCACGCTGTCTGTACGTATAAAGGAAAATGATCGTGCAAAGGTGTTTATCGATATAGTTATCAGCGCACAGTAATGAAATTTAGCAAATGTTTTAAACTGACATTTTGAAAAAAAAACAGAAGTAACTATCAGCAGACGATTTCTCTCTAGCTTCATACTTGGCCTTTCATGAATTTTGCTTTCTCAGTTTAGTAAATGCCTTGTGTGATTTCGTCTTCGTTGCAAATCTCTTGCGTTTCGTCTTGTACTTTCTTCTTACCAGCACCACCTTTGCATAGGGCATAAAAAATATTGCCGATCTTATTCGTGTACGGGTTCTGATAATTGGAACTAAATTTGTGGCTGATGGGAATTATTGTTTTAATCGTGCTACCTTTCCGATGTTGAAGCAGGTTGAGTCAAAAGCAACTACCAACTCTGAGTGACATTTCATTACTTTTAGTCTTGCTTCACGCTAGCCTATTATTGTCTTTTCGGCTGCTTCGCTGTCACCTCTTCTGAGAGCCTCTTCCAATGGCTTTGTTATCCGACGGATAACTGCATCCGCATATGCTTTTTTCTATTCGAGACTGTAGAAATAATTGCAAGTTACTGAGATAGTATTGTGATGGGAACAAATTTTCATAACCTCAGAAAACTACCATTGGAGCTTACTCGACTCGCGAAGGACGAAACTGTTTGTGCAACCTCCTGAAGCTGCTGCCCCGCAACCCAAAATGAATAACTAGTTTGAATATTGATAGATGAATGGATGAATAAAACCTAACGATGTTAATATAGGGCAGTGCAATTAAATTTTTGAAGTAGTTATTTGTACTATTTCACAAATTTTATGGAAAGTAGGAAATATATAACTCTTGAATTTTGAGCTATTCAAAAAAGATTAGACTCAGTCGTTTAGCTGGCAGTAGTAAGTTGCTACTTCTAAAACTTAATCCCTCTTCCTTTTTAACATTTCTTGCTTTTCTTCAGTAGCGTCAGCCATTTGACGCTTCAGTACGCCCAGTGGGACTGGTATGAAGGGTACTACGTCTATGTGACTTAACCATGCACGACTTTAGCCGGTCTTCACTGTATTATCAATTTCTTGAGGTTCATCGATGGAGCGGCTTAGTCTGGCAGTGGCGTCTGTTGATAGTTTGCCCTGAAATGCGTCGATTGAGTTCGTCCCTATGTCCGGATCTTCTAAAGCCACCAGATGCGACTTTTTGATTCGTTAACGTACGCTCATCAGTTGGTGAAACAACGACTCAACCGCATTTTTGGAAGTTTAAGCAAAATGTCAATTAGATTATCAAGCAGGACTATTTTCAGAAATTCAAGCTAATTTTATCCTGTGAAGATAAGCTCAAAGCCGTCTCCTTTGCAATTTCAACGGCACATTCTACGTCGCAACAAAATAATGTTATGCTTCACTTGAGAGACGGACTGAGCTAGTCCGAAGAGCGTTGTTCGCTTCAACCCTGAAAAAGACTGTCGGAAAGTAATTAGCTGTTACTCTTCAAGTAACATTACCGTTCCTCTGCGAAAAACAATCCTGAAGAATACGCTTAGGAATAGGAATGTAAAATAAATTGAGTAACTAAGATGTAAAATAAATTGAGTCACTAAGAGGCATGTCGGAAAAGGAGTTTTTGAAAAATATTACTGATCATAAAATATAGCACAGCAGTGCCAGCTGTCATCGTATAGCAGGGCATAAACAGCACATTAATCCAAATTTATAATGTCTGACGTTTAGAAGCGATAACTCGCGTTGATATTAGGCAAAGTTGGCTACTGTGACAAAGATCATATCGTCGTCAGGTCTGCCTCAATGATGTGTTTCAATGTTTTATATTGTCCTGCCGCATGTCTACTGCCATTTGGCGGTTCCAACGTGAGACAAGTTTAGAAAATATCTGTAATCTCTTACAGGACGTTTCATAAAACTAGGTCAGGTGATGGTCTCTTAGTCTATCGAATGGTTTTCTCAGACCGCTGGTCATCAGTACTTGCTGTTTCGTGTTCCAGTGGTACCATCGCACTTTGAGGATACTTCACACACAGTATTGTTGGAAGCTTTCTAGACGAATTTCATTACGTTTAAGGATTTTAACGACGCTTTAGCGATGAGCGGTTTACATTTACGGGTCGGTTCGAACCGTTCTACCTAGAAATTTAACATGCATAAGTTTAATATCTACAAAGAGCAGCTACATGTCAC